TTCAGGGTTTTGGGTTTAGGATTCAGGGTTTAGGGTTTAGGATTCAGGGCTTAGGGTTTAGGGTATAGGGTTGTTTTAGTGCAGTGACCCCTTTCACTCCGCAGGCGTCCACCTGTTTACAGGCTTACACTCGGACAGGGTATAGGGTTCAGGGTATAGGGCTTATAATGCGAATGCCTCCATTGCACAGCGAGTTGAGCGCTTCCACGAAGGGCTCTTGCGATTGCTGTGGGGCTGCGGAGGTGGACATGGCTGGCGTGGAAGATTCTGGGGCATCCCCAAGCCTTAGTGTCACTTTTATGGCAGCAAAGCCTCACTGCCACAAAAGCAATCACACAAGAGCACCATCCCCGGTAAGAGCCCGGCTGGCCATTGATGAAGCCAGCAAGTTCCTGAGCTTTGCCGTCAAAGCAGAATCGTGACAATCTCGTGGAACGGCAGTTTGCAAAGGACATTCCAAGCGGCAGTGACCGTGGGATAATCAAAAACCATTGAGTTCGGGAGATTGACACCGTCAAACTCCGTCTGCAGCCGATTTCTGAATTCCACACCTGCACATGTGCGTTTCGCGAAGACAACTGCCGTTTTGAGGCGCTAGGCCCTGCCTGACAGAGAATCCATGCCAGCATCCATCAGAGGATTGTCGGCTTCTAGGTCAGGAGAATCAACTACCTGGAGCAATCTGCGCAATGAGCAAAGACGGCGATTGCCTGCGCCAGAGACCTCAACCTGTTTTTCCCGTTCCTGTGCTCTGGATGCAGTCTGTGAACAAAACTTCTCAAACCCTAAAGCCTAAATTAGCCTAAATGCCCAACTCCCAACCCCGAAGCACACGACCCAGAAAACCCTTCCTCTCCAAACCTTAAGCCCTTAAAGGCACCTCCCGCGCCAGATCTCTGAGGCTGCTGAGAACAGCCTCAGGGCAAGCGTCAACATTCACGGTGTGAATGAGGAGCACTGGAAGGTTGCTAGAAGGGTGCTATTCGGGTTACTAGAACGGAACTACAAAGAACCACAAGGGCTAGCTGCTACAGGGTACTGCAAGCGGATGCAGTAAGGCGATCTGGCCGAACACTGTAACAACTACTTGGACGAGTTTATATGCTGCGACGGTTAGAGGCAATAGTTACACTGTTATCCTGACAACGAGAATGACAAGAAAGAGCGGCAAAGCTGGGAGCCAAGCGTCTAGAAACCCTCATGGAACCCTTACAGAACCCGTTGGGACCCCGTAGAGAACCGAGAACCCAGGCAAACATCCTTTGTAGTACCTTTTTTTTGGAAATCCTCCGCAGGGAATCCATTGTTCAATCCTTGCTGCTATCCTGTCTAGGAACCCCTATAGCATCTGTATACACTTTTTGTTGGCAGAAGTGTTGCTAACTCTTCTAGTTATAGAAGGCCGTAGAAAGAGGGAACCCTTCATGCCCTTTTTGCCGTGCTTTGTCGGGTCCTAAACCCTTGAGGGTTTAGGGTTTAGCGGAAACCCTTATAGCGCTAGAAACCTTTCTGGGATCCTAAACCCTAAATTCTTACGATGCTAGCATTGTTTTGGGGTTACTTCTTCGGCATGACAGAGCACTTTCGGTCATTCCTTTTTCAGGAACCCTTGTAAGAACCCCTATTCGACTCCTTATAGAACTCTTATCGAAACCCTTCTAGAAATCTGAAACCCACTGGTCCTTCTAAGAAACACTTTCTAGGCCTTTTCAGGAACCCTTTCTTACCCTTTTTTTATGACATAGAAATCCCTTTAGGA